ATTGGCAGTAGGCGGTCTCTCAAGTACCCAGATCCAATACCATGGAGGGCTTTGTAGGTGACAACTAGCACCTTGAATCACACCTTAAAAGTTGCATCTTGGAATTCTGTTGTACACAATATATCATTACCATTTTTTTTATCTGTAATTTAGAAGTCAACCCTCCAGAAAAGCTTTGATGGAGTAAATTCTTCTTTACCACCATTCTAATCCCTCTTCTAAGCTATTTTGCATCTCAGCATTTTCTCTTTTATAATTCTTACATTCCAGTTTCCCTACAAATGAATCCATACCTGGGTTAGTTGGAAAGGTTTATGTATTGTTCTGAACTGTGAATTATTTCAGGCAAAAAAGAAGTCCAGAAAAAGCAAACAATATTCATTGTAAAATTATTCTGGGCTAAACATTGGCCCATCTAACAGCAGTTTTGTTTGCTCTAGTGATTAGTCTAGAATGCCAGGTTCTTTCTGCTTTTTGGAACTTCGTAATGAGAAATGTCAGGGTTGATTCATGTCTCTCACTTTCTCATTTATGTGAGCATTCCTCTACAAACCATCTTTTTTGCCTGTATGCCAATGAGTCACCTAGTCTGCTTGACCTTTGCTGTATTGTAATATCTAGCCATTCAAAAGCATGTAAAAGTGCAAGTAGAAAAATAGGGACCACCTTGGTGAGAAGGTAACAGTGTTCTGTGCGCCTTCAGCATTTAGTCATACCGGCCACATGACCACGGAGATGTATTTGGACCATGCTGACTCTTCGGCTTAAAAACAGAAGTGAGCACCGCCCCTAGAGTTGGGAACGACTAGCATGTATGCGAGGGGAAACTTTACCCTTATCTTTAATATCTGATTAATTAAGCACTGTTGGTCAACCAACATGTAAGGACTACATATACATTGTCAACCTATCTGGGAATGAATAGCTACCTTCTGTCATCGAAGAACAGAATTGGTAAGAAAAAGGGCACTGCAGATGAGATGAGTAGGATACACTGCTAAGACTGAGATGAGGGAAGGGGGAGAATTACATAATATGGTTTGCTATTGACTTAGGAAATATATATTTTTATTATAAATTGGCTAGAATCCGGAGAGTAAATGGCATAAAAAATAAATTGCAATCATCAGATCAGGACATAAGCTAGATGTTGCTAGATCTCAGCAATTCAGAAGTGGTTGCAATTAACACATTAGACGTTACATTATGCAAAGAGATTCCTTATTATTCCAGGCCACCTAGAAATCGGGTGAAGCTGTATTTAAAGTTCCCTTCCAGTCTATAGACCATCTTTCTCAGAGGGAATGCAGCCCCAAGAGCCTGGTTTCTTACAGACAAACAGCACTATTTATTTTCTGGATTTAATTTGTTTCCCTTCATATAGTCCCATTTTTGAGGTTAGGCAACTTTTTCTTTGTCAGTTAGATGGCAAGGAAAAGTAGACATCCTGCATCCTTAAACTGTGGTTGCATTTCAAAAGTATATTGGATACAATACCAGAACCTCATTTCATTTTTAGCTTTCTAAATTAATTTTCTTTGATGTTTTACAAAAAATAAAATATAGTAAATGGCGTATAATCACATATAATGTAGTTATTTTTGTGCAGTGCTACATGTCGTATTGTAATCTATACGCGAAGGCAATTTTAACCTCACTATACTGTGGTTAATGACCGTAGTATAATTTAGTGGAATCACCTGCTAGTACACCTGCCTCTACAGATTATTAGAGTATATCATTTTGTGTCAATTGCTGCTATTCTGTGGGCACTGTTTTCCTGCACCTGCTACTTATATAGCCTTAGAATTGTGTGAAGGTCTAAGAAATTACCTAGGGAAATTACCTTTATTACTCACTGATTGTCTGTTCCTGGATTTGGAATGTAATACAAAGAACATTATGCATCTACATTAATGTTGTATGAAATGGTTTTTATAATCTAGATTATAGATTCTCCTAAATTACATTCTGTCAAGGAATGAAAGTTAAATTTTTACTTAAGCATGGCACTTTATAGTACAATTAATGAGAATTCATTTTTAAGTATGAATATGGAAATTCAGTAGATTTTAGTAGGAAATTATCTGCCTTGTTCTGTTGTTATGCTTGGAGCTGCCTACAGTTGATTGGAGGAAAAAGGAAAAGGTCTAATATGAAAAAGTGTTAGAACATTGATTCTCACTTTAGAAGTAATAGAAAGGCATAAGGAAAAAGGGTAAGGAAGTTACTTGAGATGGAGTAAATTAAATTATGTTACAAAATGTCACACATAAATGAGTGGAATTTACTAATGAAAAGTATAAAAAAATATGTTTTGTAGAATGATCAAGTGAAAGAAGTTGGGGCTGACAAACATTAATGTCATTGATTAAAAGTATATGAGAAATGTCATTTCATTAGCGAAATAAAAAAGTCATTGTTAATAATATAATTAGAGAGCAAAGAATGATTAAGATTAAAAAGGCAGAATACAGAGTGGTTTGGGGGAGTTTTGAATTGAATTGAAAGTGGGTAAAATAACAAACTTTCAATATAGTAAATAGAATTAAGAATGAAAGTGATTAAGTTATTTGGGTTTGTAGTTAATCCTGGAAGGAGGATTTGTATGGGGATGATTGAAAAATGGAATTAAAATAAATGATGTTAGTGTGCAAGGAAAAATAATAGGGAATAATACATTTTGAAATGTATTTTAAAGCCCCCAATAAGGTTGCAGATGTAGCAAGTATAACTGAAGAAATATTACATGGGGTTGAGCTTGCTTTGGAGTTTCCATGTGTTAAGATTGCATCTGTGCCTGATGTTTGGAAGAATAGCATTTTTCTTTTCATGAAAAGTGAAATGAAACGTTTTGCACAACTTGGAAAGGAATGATGTGCAGCCTTTACCTTTGTTTATCATTTTTAAATATGGCTCTGAAAAAGATTATAAAAGTTTGATTTAAGATGCCTACATCATTATATCATCTAGGCATCTTAAAGCAAGCTTTTAACCAGCCTAACAGTCCACAAAGGGGCTAGAACACGGATGTCAAATTCACATTGTCAGGGCATTGTCGCATGATGGTTTCATGACTTTTTTCCCCTGGCCATAGGTGTGGCCAGTGTGTGACACATCCAGCCCGTGGGCAGCAAGGTAGCAAGTTTGAAAGCCCTGGGCTAGAGGACAAGAGATAAAAATAACATTGACTCATTCCTTGGAAAAACCAAACTCCCAAGTGGCCAACTAATTTGGATCAGTTGTCACTTGTGCTTGTAACCATCCTGAATGAACTATAAAAATTAATGCAAAAAGTATAGGGAGATTAATCTGTAAAATTAATGAGATTAATGTGTTTATTGATGTATTTATGGACCCCCTGTTATATGATTTATTGGTGTGTTTTTTTTAGTTCAGGATGCCTGTTTATGTGTGTTTAATTGTTTTTATTGTTTTCTGGATTTTATAAGCTATCCAGAATCTAAATTAAATGTCCTGGCAATTATTTGGCTGAATTCTGATTGAAAAAGTGTAGGATAAATGTAAGTAATTTAAAAATTCAAAATATAGTCTGGTTTTATAGCAAACAAAGGATGTGAAAGACAGATGTTTGCTCTTCAAAAAGCCCTTGAAAAATATTTTAACATGAAAGATTACTACTAGATACAAGTAAATAATGAAAGATCATGATTATATATATAAGTAAACAATTTACTATTAATAGTATTAGTATTATTAGTATTATCACTCATATTAGTTATTGTTATTAATAATGGACTGTATACCGTATTTTTCGGAGTATAAGACGCACCGGAGCATAAGACGCACCAAGGTTTTGAAGAGGCAATTTTTTTAAAAAGTAGGTAGGTAGAGGGATAGAGAGAGAGAGAAAGAGAGAGAAATACAGTAGATAGGTAGGGAGAGAGAGTAGTTAGGTAGATAAAGGGAGTGAGAGAGAGAGGAGAGAGAGAGAAATAGGTTGGAAGGGAGAGAGAAAGTAGGTAGGTAGGTAGAGAGAGAGAGAGAGAAATACAGTAGGTAGGTAGGAAGAGAGAGTAGGTAGGTAGGTAGATGGAGAGAGAGAGACAGAGAGACAGAGAGAGAGAGAGAGAAATACAGTAGGTAAGTAGGGGGAGAGAGAGTAGGTAGGTAGATGTTTCCAGGTGTATTTATCCATGTGCTGGAGAAGGAAATCACTGACAATCTGCAGCACCTGAGACTTGTTTCTGCTGGCATAGCACTTGATCAATGTAATTCTCATCAATCACTCTAACTAAAGACCTTTACGAAAGGGGGAAAAAAGTTTTTGTTCTCTGCAAACCTCCCAAAAACGTCCCATTTTTCGTGAAAACGGGACGGGTTTTTTTTCCAAATAAAAGGCACGAATAGCCTTGGGGGGGGCTTGCAGAGTGCTCTGGGGGAGTGCAAAAACAAGCAAAAACGCCCCATTTTTCATGAAAACAGGCCCATTTTTTGTCAAAAAAAATTGCATGCATAGCCTCATTGAGGCTTATAGAGTGCTGCTGGGGTGCAAAAAACAGCCCATTTTTACTCATTTCTGCCCTCCCCAGCCTCCAGGAAATCTCTGAAAGCCTCCATAAGGGTATGCATAGCCATTTTTGTGAAGGGGCGTGGCTTCGGCTTTGGGAGGCAAAAAAATGCTATTTTCTATGTATAAGACGCACCCAGATTTTCAGCCTCTTTCGAGGAAAAAAGGTGCATCTTATACCTCACCAGCCATAAACCTCACCGCACGTCACTGGTGATATCCACTTGTTTGTTTAAGGTGTTTATTACTAAATGTATAAAGGATATTTGCAGTGATAACAGAGGTGTTGGTTGAGAACATTAATGTAGACATACTTTTGTATGGAATCAAAACAACGTTGTTGGCTGAGACCCCAGATTGTTTGTAATGAAATTGGATGGTATGGTGTAATGGGGTAAGAACCTGAAAATAAATGTATTACAAATCAGTATAGTTGTATTTGAGAAAATGAAATGTAGGATTGCAAAGATGAATTTGTGTACCCCGGAAGAATATTTACTAACCGTGGAAAATGAATGGGAAAAATTAAAATGTGCACATGATGGTAGAAAAATAGTAGATAGTAGTGTATATGGTCTATTGCAAGGAATGAATACTTGCTAAAAGAAGTGAAAGTGACTATGTAGTATATGCCTACCCACTTCGTTAAACGGAAGTGCATGGGGGCCTCACAAGCATTGCATTCATTAAACTTGCAATGTCAAAGTAATTTGAATGCAAGAAAAACAGGGTACTTAAAGAGTGTTAGTAGTAAAACAAGCATGAATACTTGATGAATGAATATAGATAGAATACAAAAGTGAGCGGCAGTATGTTACAAAAGCAATATGTTAAAGTGGTTTTCTCATATAGAGAGAATGATCAAGGATCAAATTGCAAAACAAATATATGAAAGTAGAGTTACTGCATCAAGAGGATTTGTGATTGCATGCTGTTTATCAGATCTTCCAAAGTGAGAATTGAGAAGTTTAAAGAACAAAGGGCAAAGCAGGGCATGGATTTTTATTCTGCCACAGTCAAAAGAATCTTGGTGGTACATAACATAATTCTGGATAGAATGTTTACAATAAATATATTAAAACATCCATGATATAAAATGTGTTTGTGTGTGAATGACATGTGTGTTAGTGATGCAAGTAAGGAAGATTTGCAATAATAGAAAGGTATGAACAGACTGAATTGATAATGAAGTGGATATAGTTAGAATGTTTTCCTCTGCTTTTAATTTATTGTTCTAACTTATTCATCAAGGTTTCTGGAAAGCAAATAGTATATGTAAATTTAAAGTTTACTTACTCTTACATTCTTTGTTATTTCTTTTTCATCCCACAAGATCTGGAGTTGGTGTGACAGGATCAAAGCAGACATTATTTTATGCGCAGGTAACTGATGACATGAAATCTAGTGAAGGAGGTGGCCAGCCGGAGGAAGGCGAACTGATTGAAGTTGTGGAAATACCTCTGCAAGATTCCATGAAATTTGCATTTGATGAAACTTTCCCTAAAACTATGGGAGTTATCTTCAGTTTCATGTGGTTCCAGTCCAACATAGCACCAAAACTGCTAGAAAAATAATGCACTGGAGAAATGAAGCAGAAACATGGGACCATATTGGAAGCAATCTTTCAGGACTGTCTAGTTCTTAAGTTTGCTGTAGTAAAGGTTCATAAAATTCATATGCTAACAGTGGAAGATCATTAACTCAAGTTTAAATGTGTTTTTCATCCCATATTTTATCTTCCATAGAAAGAATCTGAGGAAAAGACATTTGCAATACATGAAAGTTGCCCAGTCGGAAACATAATTTTCTGACAAGAACTACAATAGGCAAACACAAATGGATAATTTATTGTGAGATAATAGAATTTTGGCAAACAAAATGTAAAATCAAGAGAAGAATTGGCAAAGGATTACATTTGTTAGTGGTTACTTTATTTTCAATTATTAAAAAGATTTAAAGTAGACAAAAGAATGTGTGGTCCTGAACATTGTAAGACTGAGTTTGAAATAGAATTGTGTACAATGATGAACATGAAATTACTAAAATGTATAATAGAATTTCTGTAGCTCCGGGTTGACCTGTGGAGTTCTTGGTGCTCTCTGATTTTGGTGGTTTGCTTGCAGATGTTTTATTACCCAAGTAGGTAACATCAATAATGTTTGTGAGTATGGGGTTTGCTCTATTTATATATAGTAGCTTATTCTGCCCATGCACATATAAGATAATATAAACTTCTACTGAAATTTGAAAAAAGAAAAACGTGGAAAAAATATGAGTGAACTAAAATTTGTGGAAAGTGTTGGCATTATTCACAATGGAAGAATATTGGTAAAGTTGCTGGAATTTGCTGAGATTGCTAAATTGACTTTTTCATCAGAGAAAAGATAATGTCTATGTTTATTGCTGACTGGAAACTCTTTATGGACTTTTTGCATGAAACAGAGCTGCAGCACACCAAGAAGCCCCTGAACTGCAGCATATATTTTTTTCCTGACCTTCCTGTACTTGTGCTGAACTATAGCATCCCCCTAACTCACATGTGGTCTACACTAGGCCTCCCAGGGTCTGCCCACCCTTCTGTGGCATGCCAACTTCCATAGCCTAATTAACAACACACACACCTGGAGTTACAACAGTTAACAGGAGTGCTGGGATTACAGTCACCAAGCAATACAGTCACATGACATTTGGCTTGATGATCATGTTGCTTAGCAATATAAATTTTCATTCCAATATAGTTATAATATACTCCCTTCATCAGACTATATTGAGGATGAGGTAAGGTTACAACAGAAGGTTCCCCTCTGTAGGGGAACAGGGGAATCTCAGGAGATGGGGAAAGATGAAATTTCCCATCAGATGGCAAAAACTCTGCAGAAGTAGTTTGTCAAATGTCCCAGGTTATGTTCCTAAGCCCCACAAATGGCACACAACACCATGAGGTGATCCTTATATCAAAGAAAAAGAGATATGGGCTTGGTACCTGTACCTGAGATTTGCTCAAGCTTTTTTCTGGAATAAAATCAGTTATTGTAATTATTGTAATTGTCTAGGGTTCTTAGAGCCTATTTTAGGAGGAGGAGTCCAGGCTGCTGGGGTGATTGCTTTCAGAGCAATGAGCTTATTCTAATGGCTTATTCATTGAGGATACTAGTTGAAAAAATAATAGATACCCTTGTCAGTGATGTATGATCCCCTACCTGCTCTATTCTAAATTATACTGCTGACCCTATAGGCTAGTCTAAACTCCACTGGATTTTCTTCCTCTGTTATTTCACGGAAGGCTCCTCTTAATAATCTCATTCATTAACCAGGATTGACATTGCTTATCATTTTTGATATTAAAGTTGACTACAGGCTGCTTGGGTAACTGTTACAAGAGAGGAAAGTGATTGAAGTGGTTTCTCAAGGTACTATAAATCTGTGAGGGAGATGGGCAGTCTCGCAATGTAGAAATAAATTAAAATAAAACAATACCTCTCCTGTATCAGCTAGTTTTATTATATACTTTATATACTTTATTATATATTTTATATAGATATATACTTTCTGTTTAACAGATGTACATTAATAGTTCAAGCATTCTTCTGAATGTGTGACATCTTCTAATAGTTTCTCTTGGTCCTCTGAATTTTGAAAAGAAGATTCACCAATGGGTATTCACCAATGGGTAATATCAGTGGGTATTATGGATAGCATCTTCTATTGTTTTGACATTTGCCTCATGTTCTAGATACTATCTAAAGTTTATTTTATTTTTAGAATTAATGTTTACCATTTTAATTAAGCTTGATCATGTTTTTAAAAAAAATTCAATGTCTTGATTTGATGTTTTAGTCATTCCATCATTTTAATTTTAAACCTCTTTAAAAACTTGATCAAATTGAAACATTGGATAGTATAAGCATTCAAAATAGGGATATATAGTATGGCATGTTCATTATTCTCATAAATAAAATGTTCCCCCCCCCCCTCGTTTCCAAATTAAGACACAGGGATCATTCAGCTGACAGCTAAAATTATGCTTTAACTTTAGAACTGCAACTTTCAGTAATGCTGTGAAATGTGCCACGACTGTAGGCCCTGAATAGAACAGCCATCCTTCAAAGCAGAAGAAATCTAAATTATCTGCAAATGAAAGGAAAGCAAAGCTTCTCCTGATCTCAAATGTGCTGTTCACTCACTGCATTAGCATTAATTACCATAGCAATGCTATCTGTGTCAGGAGGGTGATTTAAAATGCATGTTCCAAAGCAACTTATCTCCAGAGATGTGCTGTACAAGAGACAGACATTCTTCAGTAATGCTGTCAGTTGAGGCCGTCCCTGCTCCACTGGTATTCTGTGGCTGATAGCGATAGACGATTGGCTTTACTCAGTACCGAATTAAAGCCCACAGTAATGTGCAGGATCATATTCCTATCACCAAATATAGGCAGCATCTACATGATCTATATTGTGTGTGTGTGTGTTGGAGGAGGGGGTATTTCTGAGGCATCGATTTGTATGTTTCTTGGGCATGCATTAACATCCACTGAATTTATAATAGAATCAGGTATTGCAATTCAGTATGGTACTTGCAGGAATTGTAATTTCTGAATTTAAAAGTGAATGTGATTTACCACTTGCTTTAATATGAACACATGCCATAGTCATATTATAATGCCCTATTATATTATATGCATGATGCATAGTTTCTTTGCTTCACAGTGCTTTGATGCGTCCCCTTCTGATGCGTCCCCTTCTGTTTCAGCTTGGAGCCGAACAAAAAGCTAAAAACACATGGGGTGTTGCTCTAATTCCCCCCAGAAAGTGAGGTGTTGCTTTCCAGAACTTCACCAACAAGCCACAAAATCTTGATAGGAAGGCTCCCCTCCCACAGTGCTTTGTTTGTTATGTTTTTCAATGACACTAATGTTCCATGCATTGGCAGAGTTTGCAAAAAGTTATGCCCTATTTATATGGTTCATATCAGGAGTGAAACATAATCCTCTTCCTAATAAAGCATACCTAGTCATAAATTTCCCATAAATTTATTCCCACTTGAAGTCAAAGGAAGTTTAAAAAATATTCCCAAATAGATTCTATAATTTAAAAGAACCCCCACAATAAGGGTTGCAATGATTCTAGTTTGGCACAAGTATAGAAATTTCATTCAGGAGGGGGAAAATCATAAAAATTGAATGGGAACAGTTGAAATATTGAGAGATGCATAACCTCAAGAGAATGGATAAGAGAATGCATTTTATGCCAATCAGCAAAAGTCCATGCAAACAGGATTTTATATACATCTATTGTGGCTGATATCCCGTCTCTGGAACCAATACAAATAGTATCCTGTTATGCAGACTGATTAAGTTTACATTACTCTAGGAATGTTATCATTGGCCTTCCATTAATTTTGGCCTTATTCCAAATCATCACATTCATTATTAGAAAAGGGCCCAGCGGCACATAGGCAGCTGGTTTTAAGCATATTGGAGACCAATTCTTAGTCCTGTTTTCTGAATGCTACTTACTAAATCACACCTCAGGGAATAGGTGTGGGGAGAGACAAGTACAATTTAATTGGCTTAAGGTGGTAAAATCCTTGGTTCATGTTTGAACAATATAGTTTTATTCTTATGCATGACTCTGGAGTACGTTGAATTAGATACATCAGACTGAGCTCACACAACTTTGCACTATGACTTCCCATTTCCCAGAGCCAAGGTGGCGCAGTGGTTAAATGCAGCACTGCAGGCTACTGCTAGATCAGCAGGTCAGCGGTTCAAATCTCACCGGCTCAGGGTTGACTCAGCCTTCCATCCTTCCGAGGTGGGTAAAATGAGGACCCAGATTGTTGGGGGCAATATGCTGACTCTCTGTAAACCGCTTAGAGAGGCCTGAAAGGCCTATGAAGTGGTATATAAGTCTACTGCTATTGCTATTGCTATTTCTGTAATCCATATTTCATATTTCCCATTTTTTTTTAAAAAAGGACTATTTACATTAGTTACTATGATCTGGTGGGAGGGGGAATTCATGTGTCATCATCTGCCCAGAGTTGTCACCCAAGTTTGTTATCATGAGAGAGAGAGAGAGCCTGGCCTAAAATTACCATTCCATACCTAAAGTAGGACTAGAACTCATAGTCTGCTGGTTTCTAGCCTGATTCCTTAACCACTATTGTTATAACAACCAAATGGTTTTTCTCTTCAGGTTATAAAGGGAAACATACCTCCCCTATGCTATGTTTTCAATCATGAAAAAGAGAATTCTGTGAACTATAATACCGATGGGATACTAGAAACCCTAATTTGCTAATGAAATGACTAACTAATGGGAATTAAAGGAGTGTTTTTATACACTTTACCACAAACATAAATAGCATCACCAGGTCACAGACACATCCATTGCAGAACTCATAAAAGATTTGTGGTTCCCGACTGCCAAAGGATTAGAATGTATAGCAGGTCCAGCTAAGTGACCATCTAATGCTTGGAGTCTTTGTAGGCCTGGATTAACAAAATAGGACTCAATTCTACCAAGATGAAGTGGCTATGGATATTATGGCTTCCTGAACCCAAGGATTGTCCAGCTATTCGCTCAACGGAGTCGCACTTGCCTGTAAAGACTAGTATACAAACTGAGGTCCTCTTGGACTCACAGCTGCTGTTTGAAAAACAGATGGCAGCTTTGGCAGAGGAAGTCTTTCTGGAGTTCCATCTGGAGCACCATTTGTACTCCTTCCTGGATCTGGAGGTCCTTCATTCAGTCACTCATGCTATAATCACTTACTATAATGTAGTAATGTAGCAGCTGTGCATGAGCTGCCATGAAATCCAGTCAGAAGCTTCAGTTAGCCCAGAATGCCATGGCAATTGTAGCAATAAGCATGCTTCAAGATACCCATGTGACACTGCTGTTTCATGAATTGGTTGCCAGTGTACTTTGGTTTGTGATTCAAGATGCTGGTAATTATCTGTAAAGCCCTACTTGGCACAACATTGGGATATTTGAGGGACTGTCTGTCTTCCATAGTTTGCATAGCCAGTACATGCCAACAGTTCTGACATGCTCTGGATTCCTTTGATCAAACACTGTCATCTATCAGGACCCAGAAACGTTCCTTCTCTGTTCCCGAAACCCATGTAATCCATTTTGTTGTCATTCTATAAGGTCTCGAAGATATAGTTGTTGTCCCAAGCCCTTAAGATGGATGAAGCTCCTGCTGAATGCCCCCTAAATTAAATTAATTAATTAATGAACTTGCAAGTACCTGCCAATGAATCTAACAGTAGAAATAGTCATAAAGTCAAGGAAAGAGGTAAACAAATCCTTCCTTATCACACTTTAATTAACCGGCATGAAGATAAGCAGGAACAGGAACAGATAAACATGAACGATCACGGAAGAAACAGTAACTGACCCAAAAGTAATCAAAGAAGAACAATACCCCAATAAAGGCAGGTAGAACAAACTGTCAAATAGAAACATTCAGCAACTCCCTTATGTATAGGTGACGTTACGTCCCTTGGTAATGATGCATCTGCAGGAAGAGAATCAGACTCAGTGGAACATCAAGAACCCAACAGAGCATGGCCCAAATTATTTTGAGTAAGTTAGTTATCCTCAGGGAAAGGCACCTGAGCTAAGAATCTTGGTAAACAAATAATTAAATCTGTTGGCACCAGTATCCACAAGTAGCCAATGGATTCTTGGATTCAAGGACAGTAGGCTCACACTAGGGTAAAAGCCAATGCTTTGAGCCACAAAGTTCAAAGCATTCGGCCTCTTATCACCTTTATCTATTAGTTCAAAGGACAGGAAATATAAGCTGCACAACACCTGGAGATGACCTGATATTACCTTCCACTTGGCCAAGCAGTTGATTTTCTGTCAAAACTATTTTATCTGTGACATGTCACGGCTATTTTCTCCACAATGACTGGGTTAGGAAGGGTGGACTATTCTTTTTATCTTGTTACAAGTTTTAATGCAGACAAACTCCTCAATAGGTATCCTATTACAAAATAATGAGAGCTAATTTGGTGTAGTGGCATCAGACTAAAAATTGACGGACAGTGAGTTCTAATGCTACCTTGGGCATCAAGCAGCTAGGTGACCTTGGGCCAGTCACTTTCTCTCAGCCCTAGGAAGAAGGCAATGGCAAACTACTTTGAAAAACCTTGTCAAGAAAACTGCAGGGATTTGTCCAGTTAGTTCTAAGAATCAGACATGATTGAAAAGAAGAAAGAAAACCCACAAAAATAAGATGCAGTTTGTAAAGCTTGTTAAGTAAGCTAAGCAATAGACAATGTGTCTTATATATACAAAGAAAAAAGTAGACATACAACTATACTCTTCTCAATTTCCTCTACACTCACTATGCTGGATTCAAATACTACATCAATTGTGTTCACATTACATGTTTATTAATTCCCAATGGAACCAAGGTTTACTCACTTAGCTTAATTTTCTGGGATTGCATGGCA